AGCAAAATGAAATGTGAGGAAGATGGAAGCGCAGTTCAACAACTAGAATTCTATAAAGAAATGGTCTGGTGTCAAAGAAGCCTCACGTAAGACGAATTTTAAGAAGAGTTGAGAATCCATATGATTCTGAAATCCACGAGGAAAGACTAGTAATTAGCATTTAGAAATGTCAATTAATATATGAAGATCATTCAAAATGGGAGGGAGATAAGTACAACTAATATATGAAGATCACCTTCAGGTACAGGTGCTAAGGTATCGGAAGGCACGACCAGCACATCAGTTGGTGTTTGGATCTTACTGCATTCAACATGTTGAGCTTCACCATCAACAACATCAAGCATTTCTCCCTAAATACAGAAGAAAATTGTAATATTATCTACAATCTTGCCTAGCTTGACTTGTTTTTAATATATATGATAAAAAGAAAAATCTGGAATGCAAAGTATAAAATATATCTTTAAGAACACTGTAAAATATAAACAACACCCTTGAGGCAGTGTAATCCCAAAGAAGCCAAAACTCAAAATTGAAACCAAGGAATTAATTAGGAAAGAACTTTATGGGTAATGATTCTAAACTGGGATGAATAAAACACAATTGAAAACCTCTATATATTGGGAACAAAAGGAGATTCTTTTGATTTCTATTTGATGTGGAAATCATATTAATCCCATTAAAAGTAGAAAAGTTAAATCGTATTCTATATGGTTAGTAAAAATTTAATCCTTATTCTGTATAGGACAATCCTCAATGAATCCACCTTCAATATTTTACTCGGCATAGATAATACAAACCCAAGGTAGTCTTATCCCGCATATCACTTATCAATAGATGCAGATACTTCCAATACATCAAGTGAGGAAAAGATCATATATATTTGAAAAAGATTAAATCTTTACTTGCTTGCTTTCAAGAAGCTCAATTTTTTCCATTCCTTAAAATTAATCAGAACAAAGAGATCCATGAATAACTCATACAACAATACTATTCAGCAAATCAGTTGAATTAAATTTTAAAGCTCTGTGACA